TTAGGAGCTGAAGGGACTCACAGTTTTGGAGACAGATGGGGCTGGCTTATGGGCAGTATTTGTGGAGGGAAGGAGGGAGAAGTGTGTTTCATGTGGTCTTAGAGCTTGGGGCTGTCCCTACATGTAAGAATCCTTGTGAACTTGGGATTCAGTGGTTCAGCCATTCCTCTGATATCCTGTTTATAGGACAGAGGAAACTACAAGTCCCAGCAGGCAATGGGGCCTCCCATACCTTTTTTGTTATTCTTTCCACCAGTGACTGATGGGATTTGTAGTTTCTTGGCCAGAGCTGTTGTGGGGTTGGTTATCTAGTCCCTGAACTCACCCTATCCTTGTGTTCCCACCTCTCTCAGATCCCCAGCCTGAGTCACAGTGTGCTGTCACAGACCAGCTTCAGGGCCGAGTACAAGGCCAGCGGTGGCCCCTCCGTCTTCCAGAAGCCCGTCCGCTTCCAGGTGGACATCAGCTCCTCTGAGGGCCCAGAGCCCTCCCCCCGACGGGACGGCAGTGGGGGTGGTGGCATCTACTCTGTCACTTTTACTCTCATCTCCGGTGAGTTCTTGACTAGACTGCCCCACACCCAGGGTTTGGGATGTTCACAAGGCCAGGAGTGCAGCAAGAGGCAGGAGGACGTGGTGCTCAGCTGGTGCCGACTCTGTGAGCATCCTGCTCACACAGACCCCCACATCCTTCCCCATTCTCTCATTGACCTCTAGCGGGTATTTACAGGGTAAATAATGAACGCATTATTTCATGGAGGCTTCCAAGCAGCTTAGGTGTTAGTAATCACCAGTTTTACAGAGGAGAAAACTGAGTCCTAGAGAGATAAATGGACTTGACTAAAGTGACACAATAAACTGTGGCAGAGCTGGGGCTCAACCCAGGCCTCCTGACCTCACGGGAGAGGGCAGAGCTCTTCCTGCTGCTTTAAGATCATAGATCAAAAGGGCGAAGACACAGCATGCTGATGTCTAATTAATCAGTCCAGCCTGGGCAGACATCACCAACCGATCCCAGCACGTCTTCCTGCCCAGCCTGTCTGCAGCCTCCACCCCAGGCAGCCACGACCAATCCAAAGTTGGCACAAGAGATAAAAACCACAGCAATACCTCACTTCCAATTCTGCTTGCTTCCTAAGTCCTAATAGGGGGAGTTTGGATAATGAGGGATACCTCTGCTCTCCTTGTCGTGAATTGTAGTGTGTCACTGCCAGGAGACGAGTTTGCTCCAAAGATTTCTAAACCAGGATGCTGTGCGACACTGCGATGGATGTTCCATCAACAAAACCGATTATGGCGCTGTTATTTTTCTTTCCCCCTTAAAGACTAATACGCAGACCTTTCTTAATTTTAGACCTTTTTCTCACATTTATTTTCTTACATTTCTGGCCCTACATGGCCTCAACTAGAAACTAACAAGCAGTGGCATCTATTTAAATAGCAACTGATGCCTGTTGTTATTTTCAGTTGAAGATATCTGAGTTTGACAGTGGTTCTTAACTAGCAACACAGAGACCCATCTGCAAACTATGAATTTATGCCGGCCCCAGCAGAGCAGGGGAAACTGAGATGCAGAGGAGAGGAGAGTCATTTGCTTGGTGGAGAGAGTGGGTTCTGCAGGCCGGGAGGGCCTTCCCTGTCCGCGACCCCCAGTCAGCCTATTCCCCTGCCCGCCGGTCACTCCAGGTCCCAGCCGTCGGTTCAAGCGAGTGGTGGAGACCATCCAGGCACAGCTGCTGAGCACTCACGACCAGCCCTCCGTGCAGGCTCTGGCAGGTGGGTGGCGGGGGCTGGAGGTGGGAGACATCCTGTGTGACCCGGTTCTCCAGGATTTGGTTTGCAGAGGAGGCCAGTCTTGCTGAGGACTTCCCTGCACTGTTGCCAGCAGGTTCCCCAAGGCTGGAGCCTGAGAAGGAACTCGCTAGCTACCTGGAGACTGGCCTCCAGGGGTCCCTAAGAGAATGAGGGGTGACCAACCATCTCGGTTTACCTGGAACCAAGGCGGGTTTGTGGGATGCAGGACTTTGAGTCTAAAACCAGGACAAATTGGTCACCTTCTTCGCAGGACTCAGGCCCCACCTCACCCTGTTGCTAGGGCTAACAGTCCCTAGCAACCGGGATTGTAAGCTGAGTTCATAGGGAGTGTGTAGGATCTGTGCTCCATGGGGTTGGGCCTCCCTGGGCCCACCAGCTCGTCATCGGTGAGTGGAATTCCCCAGCAACCAGGGACAGTGCAGGGGTCAGGCCTCTGCTGGGTTTGTTACTAAGGTGTCTTAGTCCCTTGAGGCTGCTATAAGAAAAATACCACAGACTGGGTGGCTTCTAAACGACAGAAATTTATTTCTCACAGTTCTGGAGTCTGGGAAGTCCAAGACCAAGGCACTGGCATATTCGATATCTGGTGAGGGCTGATTCCTGGTTCATAGATGGCACCTTCTAGGTCCTCACATGGTGGAAGGGGCAAGGCAGCTCTCTGGGGCCTCCTGTATGAAGGCGCTAATCCCATTCCTGAGGGCTCCACCCTCATGACCCGATCACCTCCCAAAGGCCTGACCTCCTCAACCATCACCTTGGGGTTAGGATTTCAACTTAGGAATTTGGCAGGCACACAACATCCAACCAGAGGTAACCAGAATGCCTGAGGGAGGAGAGCTCTTGCCCCCCAAAACAGCCCTCATTTCTGAGACATGGTGACCCCTCCCCAAGGAACGGGGTCTCATAGGACAGAGTGAATTCAGGTGCTGGCCCCATTGCAGGGTGGGTGAGCACGCCATAGCCACCAGGAAACAGTTGCCTGCTCTGGGGGAGACGGGCAGCATCAGCCTTGCAGAGTTCACTGCTCCTTCTCAGACCCCTTGACCACCTTCCCCATGGAAGGGAGCAAGAGGGCAGGACCCAGCAATGAGGGCAGGATCCAGGGTGGCCTAGTCACCAGAACACTCTGGTGGGCATTTGGATGTGGACATCTTTGGGAGGGGGTGCGTCATCCATTGTACCACGGCCCCCCAGGGGACATTTGGCAATGTCTAGAGGCAATTTTGGTTGTCTCAACCAGGGAGGGCAGGGGTATGCCACTGGCATCTTGTGGGTAGCCCAGGGATGCCACAATTCACAGGACAGCCCCCCACGATAAAGGGCCGTCTGGGCCCCAAATGCCAATGGTGCCAAGGTAGAGAAACCTCATTGTCCATTGTGGTCACTAGGGGCAACCACAGAGCAAAGTAGGCCCACGGGACCCCATTGCCAAGGAAAACCGGCCTTCATGACCAGGGATCCCGAAAGGGGGCACAGCCTCAAAGATGTAGGACCAACAGCCCCCCGGGGCCTCAGCCACCTGTCTTGTATAGGAGAAGGGAGTGGGGGGACGGCCTCGGCCTTGGAGCCTGCCCTGGAGAAAGACAGCCTTGTTGGTTGCCATGGCAATGAGCCCCGCAGTCAGTTTCTCTCAAGAGCTGGGTCTCTGCCAGGGGACCTCAGATAGTGTCTCAGGCCCCCTGCACATTGCTAGGTGGCCGCCCAGCAACCAGTGTTTCCACAGCATTCCCCAAGAGGAAGTGGCCTCTGTCCGGGGAAGTCAGGCCCCACAAAAGGGGAACCGGGCAGGCATGCCCAGCTGGGAGGGCCTGAGACCCCCCAGTAGGCTCCTGTGGGCCCCATCCCCACGGAACATTTCTCCCTAACACCGGGGCAGCAGAGAGTAGGGGAGCCCCTCTGGCCACGAACCTATGTGCTGCCCGGCGTGTCCTGGCCAACAGCAACCAGAATGTCCGAGACTCTCCCACAGTCCGGCCAGCCGAGGCCTCACTTGGACTTACTTGGCCCCTTTCCCAAAGCCAAGAGAGTTGCAGGAGGCCTAGGGTGTGGCCCCCATTCTAGGAACACCAGGCCTTGTTGCTAGGTCGTGTGTCCCCCTAGCAATAGCTTCTGGAGGCTTCCAGCCCTGGTGATGGGGGATTTGACTGGGCCTCACCAGGGGTGTAGCTGGGGGCCTTGGGGGTCCCTGAAACCAACTGATAAGGAGACCCCACCCCATCTCCTGATGGCAGGAACCTCAACCCTGGGCTGCAGAGCCCACGTAAAACCTCTCCTTCCCTCACAGATGAGAAGAATGGGGCCCAGACCCGGCCCGCTGGTACCCCGCCCCGGAGCCTGCAGCCCCCGCCTGGCCGCCCTGACCCAGAGCTGAGCGGCTCTCCCCGCCGAGGCCCCCCCAAGGACAAGAAGCTCTTGGCCACCAACGGGACCCCTTTGCCCTGACCCCAGGGGGCCGGGGAAGGAGGGGCCCCCCCTCCACCCCCCTTCCCTGCCCCCCAACTGTGAATCTGTAAATAAGGCCCAAGGAATATGTCGGGAGGGGGGAGGACACAAAAACCGGCCTTGCCCTGCAGGGATGGGGCTCCAGGGGCCGTGCCCAACCGGGGTGGTTCTAA